GGCCATCACCCCCAGCTGGTCTCTGTGGCAATGTAGCCTCCTCCCCATGCCCTTCCTCCTTCCACCCTCCTCCTCTCTGCCTCCTCAGGCCATGCCTCTAGGGGAGATTTTAATTATTTTTTTCTTTTACTCTTTATTTTAATTCACACTCAGCATACTAGATGACCCCCGACTTTTCATAAGATTTTGCAGGCTTAAAATGTCATCTACTATGCCAGAAAATACGGTAACAAAAAGTATTTGATTAGTCATTGTCTTATCATAATGTTACACCTGCAGAACAGAATAATAATAAATTACTTTTAGAGGCTCTATAACAGGATTACTTTTTAAAAGTAGCTTTTCAGGCATGATGTCAAATGGGTTACCTTGGAATCAATAACCTAGGTTTTCTCTTCCAGACCCAGTCCCTTCAACAATTTTGATAGGAAGGAGCGCCACCTTGTTTTTTTGTCCATGGAAGCAAAATGTGTTGGGATGGCCTAACTTCCTAACTTAGATAGGTCAGGACATTATAAATATATCTTTACCCTTGACACCCCAAGCATGCACACTTTGATAACTGTGAAGAGTTAAACAAAGTGCATTAATTAAAATTTCAATAAGTACCCCCTTGAGTTCTAGTTTAAGGAGACAGGTGTAATATAAATAAAGAAATCATCATCATTTCTTCTCTGAATCCATATTTGCATATGAAGTGCTAAAAGTTGTGGTGTGGTGACTGATGAATCCTTGTCAACAAGCTGATAAATCTGCACCATATTTTAGCTTTCAGGGAGCTATCTAAAGTGCTGGATGTATTTGGGGGATACAGTTTCAGCACTTTGGACAGCTCCCATAAAGCTCAAACTAAATGTGGAGAGGAAACACCTCTCCATAGACACACAACTACCAGGGTTCACTACTTACATGATAAAATCACACCTGAAGGCACTGTTAGTCACATTTCAAGAAATATCCTTCAACTATATAAGTAAGCAATGTCTCCTGCCCCAATCCTCCAAGTTCACCTTAACAACCAGCAACTGCATCAGGCAAAGAAGATCTGTCCGGCTATTAATTGGGGCACAAGGAGGAGGCTATCTCCACTCCTCCCACCAGGAAATAGGGTTGCAATGGGGAATGGCACTGCAGGCCCTGCTTCCGATTCTTCAAGCCATCTCACTGGTGGGATGGGGCTAGAAAAGTCAACCACCTTATTATTATTATTATTATTATTATTATTATTATTAACTTTATTTGTACCCCGCTAGCATCTCCCGAAGGACTCGATGCAGCTTATAAAGGCCAAGGCCACAAAACACAACACAAACAAAATAACACCAAAAGCAAAATTAAAAACAGTTAAAGCAATATTAACGACATGCAATAGACAGTATATCAAGACACAATAAAAACTGGGCCGGGCCAGAGTAATGGGTACAGGATTAAAAGTGCTAATGTGGGTGGTGGTATACGAGGATTATAGGGCAAGTGCAGTGTGCGGTGTGCAATAATCTTAGTTCTACTAAAAGTGCTTCGAGGACTTGTTATTGGAGATTTCCTATTCTGGAAAGGCACATCGGAACAGCCAGGTCTTCAAGTTCTTTCTAAAGACTGCCAATGTAGGGGCCTGTCTAAGATCTTTTGGGAGGGTGTTCCAGAGTCGGGGGGCCACCACAGAAAAGGCCCTGTCTCATGTCCCCACCAGCCGCGCTTGTGACGCTGGCGGAATCACGAGCAGGGCCTCACCAGATGACCGGAGTGAACGTGTGGGTTCATAGATGGAGATGCGGTCACTCAGGTAGGCAGGTCCCAAACCGTTTAGGGCTTTGTAGGTAAGCACCTGCACCTTGAATTGGGCTCGGAAAATAAATGGCAGCCAGTGGAGCTCCTTGAACAGGAGGGTTGACCTCTCTCTGTAAGGAGCCCCAGTTAGCATCCTGGCTGCTGCCCGTTGGACCAGTTGGAATTTCCGAGCCGTTTTCAAGGGCAGCCCCATGTAGAGCGCATTACAGTAATCCAATCTAGAGGTGACCAAGGCATGGACCACCCCGGCCAGATCAGCCTTCGCGAGGTACGGTCGCAGCTGGCGCACAAGTCTCAATTGTGCAAAAGCCCTCCCGGACACCGCCAACGCCTGAGCCTCAAGCGTGAGCGATGAGTCCAAGAGGACTCCCAAACTGCGGACCTGTGGCTTCAGGGGGAGTGTAACCCCGTCCAACACAGGTTGCCACCCTATACCCCGATCCGGTTTACGATCGACCAGGAGGACCTCTGTCTTGTCGGGATTGATCTTCAGCTTGTTCCTCCTCATCCAGATCGACACAGTGGCCAGGCACTCGTCCAGCACCCGAGAGGCCTCCTTGGAATTAGGTGGAAAGGAGTAGTAGAGTTGTGTGTCATCTGCGTAGAGATGGCACCTAACTCCAAAACTCCAGATAACCTCTCCCAGAGGTTTCATGTAGATGTTAAAAAGCATGGGAGATAAAATGGAGCCTTGTGGGACCCCACAGGTCAAGGGCCACGGGGGCCGAGCAGGCATCTCCCTGGAAGGTCTAGGAGCAACAAAGAACAACTGGTGAATCTAGACTGTTGGGAAGTCAATGGCAGGATCAAAGATGGCTAAACAGTCAAGAGAATGGGCTTTGACTGTTGGAAATAGGAAGGTCTAGGAGCAACAAAGAACAACCAGGGAGTATGACCTGTAGGGAAGTCAATGGTAGGATCAAAGATGGCGTCAACAGTCAAGAGACTGGGCTTTGACTGTTGGAAATAGGAAGGTCTAGGAGCAACCAAGAACAACTGGTGAATCTGGCCTGTAGGGAAGTCAATGGTAGGATCAAAGATGGCGTCAACACTCAAGAGAACGGGCTTTGACTGTTGGAAATAGGAAGGTCTAGGAGCAACCAAGAACAACCAGGGAGTATGACCTGTAGGGAAGTCAATGGTAGGATCAAAGATGGCATCAACACTCAAAAGAATGGGCCTTGACAGTTGGATTTAGGAAGGTCTAGGATCAACCAAGAACAACTGGTGAGTCTGGCCTGTAGGGAAGTCAGTGGTAGGATCAAAGATGGAGTCAATAGTCAAGTGAAAGCATCTACTCACATTGTATTTTGGAAATAGGAATGTCTAGGAGCAAACCAAGAAAAAGTAGTGAAACCAATGGAAGGACCAAAGATGGAGTAAACCAACAATATTGAAGGACAACTCAAGGAAATATGATGAGAGGGCAGGAAGTATTGATAGCCCAAGCTCTCTCGATGCATTCCTACCCAGAAGGCACCAATGGCCCACCTTGGTAGAAGGTGTCAATCAAAGACCAGAGAAGGTTGTAATTCGATGTCTGGCAACATGGAGCAACTGCTCTTCCTGGAACAACTGGACTAAGATTGGTGCCCATGTATCCGTTCAAAGAGATCCAGAAGCTGCCAATGGTACATAAAATGCTCACAATAGCAGCTGGTTCTGAAGCTCTCCCTCCCTCCCCTTTCCAACAACGGAGGAGCTCATTTGTCAACTCCAGGTTTCTCCGCAGCAAACGAAGCGGCTCAGTAAATATAAATGGCAACATCTGTTCCGCGCTGTTCCCTGGCACCGGGGCTGGCCCGGACTCAAGCTCTACTCCTCTCCAAAAACAACTTAAGATGGAAACCTGGCTTCTTGGCGGAGTGTAGACACAATCTGCTGACCCAGTGCCTCCTTGCAGAACGCGTTTCTGGAGCAGGATGGCCAGGGACAGCTGGTGTTGATACGCTTTGTGTGTGCTTTGGCCAGGTCCCTCTTCTTTATTTTTAAGCACATTGCAATGGCGGTGCCAACAACGGATGCCAGCGGCCCAACGCGCATACAGATCCATAGGCAATGAGACTGACTACAGCATCTATATGTTCATATGCATGAACTGTGATAGTCGGATTTAGAGTCAGACAAACATCTCCCCATCTCCGGACGGAACAAAACAGATGCTTGGCTATATCAGAGGCGAAAATAACTTTAAAGAACTGTCTGAGGTGTTGAATGTTTTGAGAGAAAGGTTGTTAGGTAGATAGTGCACTGTATCCATTGGCTGTAACCCTATTGTGCTATACTCATAGAAAATACCGTTCTAATGGACATGTGGTCACACGCCTACTGAAAGGTTAAGTGGCCAATTGCAACATATACACTTGCCTCCAACAGGCAAGGGTTCTTACTCCTACCCTGGACATCATTCCACTGGGATATATACACTCCACTTGCCTTTTCCCCCAACAGATCCTGATCAGATACCCTCACTGATTGACTTTGCAGTTGCAAGGCTATTCAGTGCTAATCAAGCTGGCCAAATGCAACATTCACACTTGCCTTCAACGGACAAGACTTCTTTCTCCCACCATGGACATCATTCCACAGATATATAAACCCCACTTGCGTAGTTTCCAACAGACCTCATAACATATTGTCGAAGATTTCCATGGCTGGAATCACTGAGTTGTTGTATGTTTTTCGGGCCATATGGCTATATTCTAGAAGCATGGCCATATAGCCTGAAAAACCTACAACAACCCAGATCTCACAACCTCTGAGGATGCCTGCCATAGATGTGGGTGAAATGTCAGGAGAGAATGCTGCTGGAACATGGCCAGACAGCCCAGAAAACTCACAAATGTTTCATACCTGGAAGGAAGAGCTTGGAGTTATGGGAGACCATTGATCAAAATAGGATTGGAAATGACAAAGGGGCCACACTCACACATCACGTTGAGGAAGATGTTGCCGGACGCTAGTACCACCTTCTCCCGGGTCGCTCGGTCGTAAATCCCGACGTGGCACTCATAGGGGCCGTTGTCCGAGATCCGGACCTCTGGAAGCCTGGGAGGAAACCAGGAAAAGAGACAATGTGAGGAAGAGCAGAAACCACCTTTTCACATCCTTGAATTGTGATGACATTCTCACACCTTTGCTATTGAACTCTGTCAACGCTAACCATGTCAACCATCTCAAGACACAAACATATCTCCCCAAATTGGAAAAGAGTAGTTGTCATTCTCTCCTCCAAGGGAAACATCTCCAGATCCTTCAGCTGCTCCTCAGAGGGATTCCTAGTTTTCCAGACCATCTAATGGGTGGAAACTAATGTTTTGAAGGCCTTTGATCCTTCAAACGGAAAATGTGTATCTACTGTGGCTGCTTGAAACAGTGGGTGGCTTTTAAATGCACCTTTTTTTCAGACTCCGTTCTGATAATCTGTTTTCAAAAAATGTTTTCATCTGTTTATATTTAATGGCTTAAACAATGCTTTTATCTCCTTGAGAACTCCTGGTGGGCCGGGAAGCAATAAAGACGTGATTGAGCTTTTTTTGTTTTGTTTTTAAAAGTCTAATAATAGCTTTGAGTTAAGAATATGGAAGTCATGACCTTGTGTTCAAGAGGGAAAGAAAAGAGAAGGAAGAGGAGGAGGAGATGTGAAAATGAGGAGGAAGAAGAAGAGAAGCGGAGAGAAGGAGGAGGAGAGGAGGAAGACAAGGGGTGAAGAGGAGAAGGGAAGATGAGGAGGAGCGGATGAGGTGAAGAGGAGGAGGAAGAGAGGGAAGGAGAAGGAGAAGAGGAGGAGGACAGGAGGGAGAAGATGAGGAGGTACAGGAGTGGACGAGGAAGGGGAGAAGAGATGAAGAGAAAGAGGAAGAAGAAGAGGAGGAAGAGGAGGGAAGGAGGAGGAGAGGAGGAAGACAAGGGGTGAAGAGGAGGAAGAGGAAGATGAGGAGGAGTGGATGAGGAAGAACCAAAAAGGTGAAGAGGAGGAAGAGGAAGACAGGACAAGGAGGAGAAAGAAAGGAGGAAGAGGTGAAGAGGAGGAGAAAGAGGAGGGAAGGAGAAAGAGAAGGGGTTGAAGGACAGGAGGGAGAAGATGAGGAGGTATAGGAGTGGACGAGGAAGAGGAGAAGAGATGAAGAGAAAGAGGAATAAGAAGAGGAGGAAGAGGAGGGAAGGAGAAGAGGAAGAGAGGAGGAGGAGTGGATGAAGAAGAGGAGAAGAAGTGAAGAGGAAGGGAAAGGAGAAGACAGTTTATGTTGTGGAGGGAAAAAAAGGAGGAGAAGGAGAGGAGGAAGAGGAGGTAAAGAGGAAGAAGAGGAGGAGAGAAGACAAGGAGGAAGAGGAAAAGAAAGAAGGAGGATGAAGAGGAACGAAGGAGAAGTGAAGTCGAACTAGACTTTAGTGGGGGGCCAACTCCAAGGAGAGATGACCCTTAGTTCCCACCAAAGAGGGAACGCTACCTTGGCAAGCCTTCAGAGAAGCCTGATTCCAGCAATTTTATTTAATATTAATAATTGAAATGAGACTCTTGCCAAACGGAAGAAGCTGGCGACCGAGGTGTCTTTATTAGCGATTCAGCTGAGATCGTATGGATTGCAGGGATAGTTCCACTACAAGCATACCAATACAAGATTTACAGGCATTTTTATAGGCAAAATACAGAGAAACAATTCAAATTTCCCGCCCTCTCCTCCCCGCCCGGCTTCACGCTGATTGGCTGCTAGCCTGAACAGCTGGGAGGAGGCTTGGTGGCCCGCCTCACTTTGGGCCAATCAGCAAGCTTCTCCGCCTCTGAGTAGCCAATGGGCGCGCTCCTCTCACTTCCGAAGATGGACGAATCAGGAGAGAGGAGGCGGGACGATTGCTGACAATGGGGGAAATGATGGGATTACTGATAGCTGGCCAGCTGGAATGTGAGGCTTTGTTCTTGGCCGGCTAGGTGTGATCTCCACAAGAAAGGTTTTCCTGTCTTAGTATCAGATAAGGAGTGTCCTTGGTGGGTTTTGGTGGAGGGAACAAACAGGGTCAGGACAGGGGACCCCAGGTTCGTTCCTGTCCTTTGTAAATCAATCAGAGTGTCCAAAGAACCTTCCTTGGCTGCCAGACAAAGCAAACAAGAGGAGTTTCGGGGGAGCTTGGCTCTCCCTCAGGCAGTGAGCAATCTCTGGTCACAATTTTCTAGGGCAAAGGGCAAAGGGAAAGGCAAAGGGGCAGGCAATATTTCATAGCAAGATACATACATTCAAATCATAAGCATTTCATAGCAACCAAACCCCATCTTTGTCCCACATCCCAAGTATATTTAATAAGAGGATTAATTTTCATGAAGAAGCCTGAAGTCCAATGTTTTAAAAGGTCTTTGAGGAAAGTTCATGAGGGAGATAGTATGTACTGAAGTCCAAGACATGCAGGCAGAGTGTCCATGATCATTGGGAAGGCTGGCAGATAAAACCCCAGCTGTGCTGCAACTGATTCACACTTTGGTCCTTGGGAAACTACAACTCTCATGAAGGGCAGAGGTCCCAAGATCCAGCCATTTCCCAAAAGCCTCATGGGGTCCTTGTTGTTGTCAGTGCCTTGGCAATGTGACCAAGACTTAACCCTTGTTGTGTAGTCTGGTGCCCTTGCCCTTTGCAGAACTATAAGTCACTATCCCTTATTTGGGGGGGGGGCTCGACATCAAGTGAGGAAGTGACTCTGAACTCTTTAGAGGCAGTGGGGGTGGCGACGGAGAAGGAGAAGAGAGGCGAAGAGAGGAGCGAGGCCTGAGGAGGAGAGGGATAAAGAGGCTAAGGAAGGAGGAAGAGTGGAAGAGGTGAAGAGGAGGAGAAAGAGAAGGTGAAGAGGATGAGGAAGATTGTTGACTTTGGTGAAGAGGTGGTTGGCAAGGAGATGGCAAGGAAGAAGAAGAGGCAGAAGAGGGAGAAGAGAGGAAGAAAAAAGTAGGAGGGAGGAGGAGATGTTAAGTAAGGAGTAGAAGGAGAGGAGAAGCAATGGAAAAGATTGGAACGAGTCATTAAGATCCAGGTGTCAGGATACCAGGACCCAACCAGAAGTGGACTTAAGGTCAACAGTCATTGTCTGAAGGCATCTAGTAACAAGTTCCCTGATGGGCCACTGCAAGTAGACCACAAAGTATGCTAGATATGGTGTTACACCCAACTCCATACGTTCCCATGGAGCCAACACACATGTTGAGATGCATATTTGGGGGCTTGGAGGCCACATGAGAAGCATGGAGAAAGAACACCCACCAGTGGATTCAGATCTCAAGGATACCAGGACCCAACCAGAAGTGGACTTAAGGTCAACAGTCATTTTCTGAAGGCATCTAGTAACAAGTTCCCTTATGGGCCACTGCAAGTAGACCACAAAGTATGCTAGATATGACGTTACACCCAACTCCAGACGTTCCCATGGAGCCAACACACATGTTGAGATGCATATTTGGGGGCTTGGAGGCCACATGAGAAGCATGGAGAAAGAACACCCACCAGTGGATTCAGATCTCAAGGATACCAGGACCCAACCAGAAGTGGACTTAAGGTCAACAGTCATTTTCTGAAGGCATCTATTAACAAGTTCCCTTATGGGCCACGGCAAGTAGACCACAAAGTATGCTAGATATGACGTTACACCCAACTCCAGACGTTCCCATGGAGCCAACACACATGTTGAGATGCATATTTGGGGGCTTGGAGGCCACATGAGAAGCATGGAGAAAGAACACCCACCAGTGGATTCAGATCTCAAGGAAAGAGATTCCACCTAAATGTTCAGAAGGACGTCTTGACTGTAAGAGTTCTTTGACCATAGAAGATACCTCTTTCTGAAGTTGGCCTTCAAACAGACCTTCAGGTGTCCTTCTGCATGGAAGGGGGTTGGATTGGATGACTCTTGGGTTCCTTTCCAACTCTACTATTCTATAACTCTCTGTTTCTTTGACTTTCAGGCTGTTCGGTGAGTCTGAAAGCCAAGCTGACCTTCACTCCAGAGGTAGGATAATGGATGTTGATATAATGGGGACAGGAGGGTTTTGTCACTTCCATAGTTGCAAAAGTCAACTCCTATTGCACAAACTCTCGAAAAGTGACCTCCCGGACCAACGTGCGAATGAGAACCGAGTTGGTGCACAGCTGTTCACACTCCCTGCCTCTTCTGTCACATTTCTCGGCTCCGTTTTGAACATGTTTCAACCGGTTTTCATACATTGCTATTCCGACCCTTTTGAAGCAACGTGTGAGCATACGGTCCAGACTGCTGTTGTGTTAAATTACTATTTGGTACCAGAATCACTTGTACTTCCATCACACAACTAGCAAACCATCTCTTTCATTCAGGAGTTCTCGGTTGATTTGCCATTGCATTGTCCAGAGTTGTTCCCACCCATTGTCCCTCTGTGAAAAGAAACACCTCCCCTCCTGGACTAGGATTTCTGTTCCTGGGTTATCAACATCATTTCCTAATTGGTTCTATCATACACACATGGGAAAAGTTTATGAAACTCCCAAAACGATGCTTTTGCAGAAGGAATGTCCTGCTAGAGCACATTCTGCTCTAGTTTCTCAATGATCTTCTTCTCTCTCTGAACCCTAACCCTCTCCCCATGTTGGAAGAAGGAAGGAAAGAGGGAAGGAAGAAAGGAAAGGAGGAGGAAATAACACATGGCACACGCAACACACGGAAGGAAGGAGAAGGAAGGAAGGAAGGAAGGAAGGAAGGAAGGAAGGAAGGGTAGGAGGAGGTGCAACATATGGCGCACAACACACGGAAGGAAGGAGTGTTTAACTCAAAGGAGATGGAGAAGGACAAGGAGGAGATGGAAATGGAGATAGAGATGGACTGTTTGATTTGAAATAGAAGAAGGAGATGAAGATGGAGCTGGAGAAAGAATGTTTGATTTGAAGGAGAAGATGGAGTGTTTGACCCGATGGAGTTGGAGATGGAGAAGGAGTGTTTGATTAGAAGGAGATGGAGATGGAGAAGGTCAAGGAGGAGAAGGAAATGGAGATGGAGTGTTTGATTTGAAGGAGAAGGAGATGGAGAATGGAGGAGGA